GAAATAAATTACACTTTACAAACACACAATTATTTAATAATAAAAAGAAAATATTTTAAAATTTAGGTAAGATTGTTATAATGTTTTAGAATAAAATAATATTTATTTAACAATGAGTCCATTGATTATTTGAGTAGGAATACAACATACCTACTTAAACTGCTTAAATAAATTTATCACATAAATAAAGTGAAGTATAATATACAACAGTTATAGGCAGTGATGAATTACTAAAATAAATCATGGGTATATGCCTTATTTCATGTAGTAACTATCATATGGTAGGAACCAAAAAAGTTTTTTCTCGCTTTGCTCGAACAATATTCACTTTACTTGTATTCGCTTAAAACCTGATAGAATATTATACTTTTGTATTTATTCTATGATACTTCTACATGCTAAACAAATGGAATAATTATTTTATTAAATGGTTATTGATTTTTAATTTAACCACTCTTCATATCTCTATTTATTTTTAAAGTTAGAAAGCACGTGTTTATGGTATAAATTTATAACATGACACACAAAAAATTTCAGGCTCTGTTTATATTTTATATCACGTTTATTACTGTCACGTTGACAAACAATTTAATAAAAAAAAAAAAAAAAATATATATAGATCATGGTTACTTTTTTTTTTACGTCAGTATTCTCCAAAGACTTGTTTTGTTTTCAATATTTGGATCTACATCTGGGTGATATAATTTACTTCTATTGTCTTCTGCTAATCTATGATTTATCATCCACGAATTCACATAGCCTTTGGGATCTCATTTTTCTAATGAAAACAAATTTTAATTTTTCATATAAAAAAAAAAAAAAATTAGGAAATTAATAATATATCAGATACCGAATCACGTCATAAATATAACCAAAAGTTTAACTATTTATATTTGTTAAATTACAAACTATACGCTAGATACAGGTCCGTATCAACAGCACGGCCACTTTTGAATAATAGTACCAAACCTTGACAGTATTTTGTACTTTTTTTTATACAATTTTGTACAATCAAAATAAAATTTTGTACACCCACCCAAACCCGAAAAAACCAGATTTTTCTTTGGTCATCACTAGGGAACGAATTTATATGTAAATGCATATTTTTATTAAAACAAGATATTTAAGATTCGATAAGAAATATTCATGATTTAAATCATTCCTATTAAAACGATAATACTCGTATTTTTATTTTACATATTTTTGTATAATTACATGTTATTACATATTTCATTAATTTGTAAATATTTTTAAACATATTTTATCGTTTCATCATTCATACGTTTCTTTCGTATGAAAATATAAAAAAATATTTCAAAATTAGATCTAGAAACTTCTATTGATATTGGAAAAGCTCAAAATATTTTGCAAAATGAAAAATTGAAAAATAATTTAATTTTCATCTCAGTGAATTTAAGTTTTATTGCATATACAATTACAAAATTGGAAATAAAAAAAATGTCCTTAAATGATAGAATGCAAACTGTCAAAACAGTGATTAAAAAATTAAAACTCGTAAGCGGGCGATGTTGTAAGAAAGAAAATTCATTTTGTTACAAAAAAAAATCCAGACTATATTGATTTTAAAACAATCAATGACATAATGAGTGGTAAACACTCTTTTAAAAATTTGGACTTATCGCCTTCTAATATGCGCTTCAAATATGCTTCAATTCAGTGGCGGACGCAGGGGGGTTAAGGGGTTGTAACCCTCCTCGAAATTTTCTCCAATGTCTATGTTAAAATTTACTAATTTTACAAGTTTGAAATATGAAGAGCTAGTATTGAATACCTAGTATCATTGATTATAGAATTGTCTATTCTATTATCAATGCTAATATTTAAGTCAAAATATATTAAAAATTTGCATAATTTTGTTAATTGTAAAATGTGTTCTATTTTTACCTTGACCCCTCCATATGGGCGCCCTTGCGCACACCTCCTTACGCGATAGTTCCCAAAGCTACTCCTTAGTTATAATAATATAATCACGGATTATATAAAATTTAATGAAATCGGTGATTTTATTCTGTTTTCCTGGCGACCAGTGACTGCGGTCTTGGTGGACGTTCTTTTCGCTCATGTACAACGAAAACTACCACCAACGAGTTGCGGCTTAGAATGGATATTTAATTATTACGACACGGCATGGACAACGATTATCAACAAATCAATAATTTATTATTACACAATTATCGATTATCATTATTGATTTTCAAATCAATTTTGTTAAATATTTTTTGAATTGTAGATTTGAGTGGGAAAATATGGAAATACCGCTGAATACAGCACCTGCTCATGTTTTCGCCTTTGCACAGTTAAATTACGACATATCTACCAATAATTAGTTAAGAAGACTCCAGACTACCAGTAATTTGGTTGTAAATACGTTATACGCGCGACACGACAAGTGCTTGTACCATATTTGTATATAATCACCAACATTTCACAATGCATAAAGAACTTTTTTGAGTAGTTTATCCATATATTTTATTTTTTTTGACGACATAAACACAATTTAAATATTAAAAGTAAATAAAATATTATGAATTTTGTATTCAGCTAAAAAATCTATTTGATTAATCAAAAAACTTTTTCTTTTGAATTTTGTTGACATGTTTGAATATTTACAGAACAATGTCCATAGACCTGTTGTGTAATTAGTCAACAATAAGCATGTATGTCTGCCAAATATACTGATGTAAATATTGAGTGTAGTATTGACCAAGCATATCTAATTATATTTTTAATTTGTTGACACAAAAAATGTAAATATTTTTCCTTTTTATGTCTACAACAAAAGCTATATTACATAAATAAAATAATCAGGTAATAATTATGACAAGTTAAGAATAACAACTTTTAATGTGATGGATTAAAGAAAAAGGTAAATATTAATTCAAAGAACCAGTCCTAATCAATATGTTTTGTTAACAAGCTATTGGAATTTGTATTACAAATATATTTTATTAATGTTCTTGATTTGTCATGTATGGAGTACAATTATGAGCATAAAACAAAAACTAGTATGTGTTAGATACTAAACAATCATATATTATTCAATAAGAAATTTATTCAATGTGTTTAGTTTTACTTTTAACAGATTTCACAAGATTAAATAGTTCTGGATTATTAATTGACGGTTTGCTTTTCTTCAGGGGAGGAACATCAACCTGAAAATAAAAATATTTATAAATAAAATACATTTGATCACAACTGCAAATTTTAAATAGATTATTTTTAAATATACCCATGACATGTTTAAATTTAAAGAACATTTGCTCTTTTAAAAAAAAAATTTTTTTCTAAGACTTAAAATTTGTTATATGAAAAAATTGATAATATTCAAATCATATTAAAATTTTTCTTGTTTTTAAAACTTTCAAATTGCACTAAAAATGTAAGACACAAAGATTTTACATTTTCAATACTAAGTTATTTGTTTTATATTTAAACTATAATTTAAAATTTGATAGAAAAAAATTGTTAATTAAAATTGTAATTATTTTAACTATTAATTTACATAGCATAATGTATTTGAAAAAAAAAATTCTAAGGAAACTAAGAACTTTAAAAATTACATTTTGTAGAAATTAACTTGAAAAGGTTTTTTATTTAAATATAATTAATTAAAAATTTTAATTTATAGTAATGGAATATTGATTGATAACCATCAATGGTGTAGCTATCATAAGACAAAATAAGGCCTCAGATTAATAACAATAATAATATAATTTGATAGTTATAGTTTTAAAGGTAATAAACTAAATTTTCTTTTCAGTTTATATATTTATTATTTAATTATGGTTTCATAGTAAATATTTACATTTGACAGTACAATATTAGATGTATATTTCGACTTTTAAATAATTTTAATCAGGGGATCTAGTTTAATTACTGCTTTGGGCCCTTTTCTTATTTAGCTATGCCACTGATAACAATATGAATATAAGCAAAATTGATGCTTGTTACACAGTTAAAAATACATTTTATCATAATTAACTGTAATAATAATAGTTTTATAAAATTGTAAAAAAAAAAAATGTCTAACTTTTTCAGTATCATATTGTTGCCTCCTGGATGCCTTTTCATGAATAAATGCTTCCATGCCTTTTGTCCTTTTGAACTTTGGATCAGCAGGGTCAATATTATACAAATGAGATGTATACATCGCAGAAAATCGATCATCATTTACATCAACCTAAAATGATCAAAATTAATAATGTGTAATAAATAATACTGTAAAGAACTTTTTACTGAAAATTCATCAGCATTAGGTTTTTCCTTCTTTAATTTGTTTTTATTCTTCTTTTTTGAACTTTTTGTTTCTTCTTCTTGAATTTTTTTCATATTAAAATGTTGTTTTTCACTAGGTTCTTCATCCATAAGTAATAACTCTAGTTCTGCTTGTTGTTTGATTTTTTTATTTTCACTATCTGAATCTGTTTCATTATCTTTTTTTTTCGTTGCTTCTTTTTTTAATTGCTGTTTTTCTCTCATTCTTTCTTTCTTTTTTTCCATCATTTTCTGGAATGGTGTTAAATTTTTCTTTGATTTTTCATCTACCGATTTTTGTACTTTTTCTTGAAGGCCTATTCCCCAAGAAATTTCTAATTCGTTATCTTTATTAGCTTTTTTCTCTTCTTCATCTTGAATGTTTTGTAATAATTCTTTATATTTATCAATGGGATTTTTTTTAGAACCACTATCTTCATTACATTTCTCATCTGATTGTATATTTTTATCATCAATATCCTCATCTTCTGAACTAAAAGCTACATATTTTTGTAAATCACTGTCATCAATTTCACTTTTTGGGTTAGTTTTAAGCTTGTTGACTAATTCATTTCGTCTTGGATCTGTTTCATCCCATGTTAGATTTACTTTAGCTTGTTGTAAAGCAGTGGTGGTAAATAAATGTGGTTTGTATTTAGTCATATCTGGTAATTTATTGCATACTTCTTTTGGCTCCTGTAAAATCATATTACTATAACTTTTTTTACGTACAACTATTTAAAAAAAAAATATTAAAAAGTATAGTATAACTGATAATTAAAGAAACCTACTGATATATATATATGAAATAAAAACAAAATATTTTTAAAGTATAATAAATTAAACTACAATATATATAAAAAAGAAACAATATTATGTATATTGTATTAGTTTTCAAGATCTAATTCAATTGAAAATTTTATAAATTCAAATAAATAAATATATGTAATTTAAATTAAAGTTCAAATGCATTTATTTAATGACTAGCAAAATAAAAGAATGATGCAAAAATTTCATTGTCATTCAAAATTTAACACTAATTTGATCATATTAAATGAGTTTAAGTTTTTAATTTATATAAAATTTAATATAAATATAATATAATGACAATCTATTATTTAGTTACTCTTCTTGAGGTTATTTAATTTAATTGTAATTAGTAATTAAATATTAATTTCAAATTCTAACTTAATTTATATATTTTTTCCACTTACTACTTTCAGTCTGACTTAACAAAACTTTCTACATTTGTTTAAAATTTTTTCTCCTCTCAATAAAATAAATCTATAAATATTTACACTATATATGATCATTGTTTTTTCTTTATATTTAAAAATAATTAATTATCTACACTAGGATTTTAGAGACAAATAATAGTTGCATAGAATAATTAAACCAAATGAGGAAAAAAATATTATTATTGAATGTAGCTGACAAAAATTTTATAATAAAATATTAAAAATTGCAAAAGACAAATTTATGAGGTTACTTATAACCCATTGGAAAATTGTGTTTTACATTAAATAAGAAACATGAAGTTACTTGATCAAATTCAGTGTCATCAGGTACAAATCGTAAATCCAATCGTGTGGCACTGCTTTCATATTCTATACCATCACAATCTGTATATATTTTGTTAGCAGTTTCTGGAGAATCACATTCAATTATAGCGTAATAATATTTAAGTCTTGCTAATTGATACTTTCGTAGTTTTTCCATGTGGTATTTTCTACCTTCTTCTTCTTCCTAAAAATGATTATATTAAATTTCAAGACAAATAAAATATAATTTTATCATACTTGTTCGCTGTCATCAGAAGAACCAATTTCCTTGGGATTATTAGATATAAGTTCAGGAGGTCCTTTAACTTCTTCTTCTTCTAATCGTTTCATACCAAACTCTGATGGATAAATCTACACACAATATAACTTTAATTAGTTTCAATAATAAATGGAGAAATATTTTTATATTTTTACAGTAATAGATTTTATATAACCATCACTAGGGGTAAATGAATTAAAAAGTATCATTAAGTCAGCTGCCTGTATCCTATCCCAATCCATATTACATAGAGCTAATCTTGACGTTGCTTCTTCTACATTGTCAGCATCTTTATCAAGTTCTCCCCAACAATGTTCTACATTTTCTATATAGATGTAATAATAATAATGAATAAATAATAAGAAAAGAGTTAACACTGACTGTTAGTAAACTATTACCTTCATTTTCTCCGTCAGAAGATGTATCATCATCTGATGAACTATCAGACAACTCACCATCGCCTCGAGCATAATCTATCGTTTTATCTTTGAGTCGATTTTTTATTTTTCTACTGATTTTATTAGTTTCTTCTTCATCATCATTTTCAACTAATGATTGTTCACCTGATTCTTGACTAACATTATTTTCATCATCAGAATCTTGTTCAGAATTGGTTTCATCATCTTTTTCTTTTACTTCTTCATCATCTTCTTCTTCTTCTTCCTCATCAGACATATGATAAAATTTTTTAAAGTCTTCAGTAGTAGAACCACGTAAAGGTTTTCCTCTTTTATCAATAGTGTACTTCACTTTAAACCGTTTGTCATTAAATATAGATTGAAATCGTTTATCAATCTTTACTTTTCGATCAGCTTTAGGTACTCTTTTGAATTTTGGATCTCCACCAATTTTAGCAAACCGTTTATCGTTTGAATACATGATTAAATTTAATGCTCGTAAAACCTGTTTTAAATATTCAATTTTAACACAAGAAAAATAATTAAAACATATTATGAAAACTGTTAGAAATAAAAAATGGAGATCAAAAATCGCAGTTTTATGCTCTATAGTTTAAAATAAATTACTTACTGGGTGTGAAGAATAATACAATAAACGAGTAAAAAGTATTTATTTATTTATCTATCGTATATAAATTTGAAATTGCTCAAATTTAAATTTGTTAACCATATAATTATTTAATATGTTTGGCGTTAGTTATGCTTTATACATTTTTAATATTCATGATAACATTTTCTAACTTAAACACGTGTTTTTGTTATTGTTATAATCTGTAATCATTATCAGCAGTTTGGGCTGTAAAGAAAACGTAAAAACCAGTCAACACGCAACAAACGATTCATTATTGCAATCTACGAAATTTTTTTTGGACTAGGTAGGTACAGACCATAGACATTATGTCTATGGTACAGACCCGTAGCCAGACCAAATCTTCAGGTGGGGCAAATAAAATTGTAGGGGGGCATTAGAAAAAAATCAATATTAATGCTATTTTTAATTTATTAATATTGTAATTTTTATAATAGGTACTTTAAATTAAAATAATAAGAATTAGAATAAAGTGAATATAATTACATTTTGAATATTTTTATAATATATTATTTTTTGAATTTACCAGTTTTTTTTAAACTAAAACAGTTGTAATTTTCTATCTTTTTGCTTGTTGAATTCCATTAATAATATATCCAAATTTAGAATTTTAGGATCTAATGAAATGGTGAATGTTATCGGTTCGATATGTTATATTTATTGTTCGGAGTTGTCGTCAGACATCAATCAGATGCCATCGTATTTTCCAGTGCAAATGCTATACAATATTGCTAAAAATAATTTCTTATATTAAACAGTGCTTTTACTGCCGATGAAATTATTATCAAGCAATAAATTATATTATATTTAACTACCACGGCTGTAGATAGTAAAAACCTACTATCTACATTCATGCTAACCACTAAATGTCATGACATTATTAACTTTTGTTGGGGGGCAACAATTAGGTCTAGGGGGGCAACGCCCCCTTTGCCCCCCCCCCCCCACGTGGCTACGGTCTGGGTGGGTACACATAATTTAAACATTTTCAATCATCATGATCTCGTTTTTTTATGTGTATGGATAACGGATATTAGAAGATATCTTCAAAACAAATAAATGTTTTACCTTCATACCTGATAACATGATAACAAATTTGAATTTTTCATTAAAAAAAAAATGAAAAATAATATTTATATATCCGATACCGAATCACGTCATAAATTAACCACAAGTTAGGTTAGTCAAGGTATTATGTAGTTATTTGTTAAATTACAAGCTATATGCAATGTACGGCCGTATACCCGCGTATCATCAATTTCTCATAAGCTTTACGCCATGGATAAAAATAGGGTATTGGTATACGTCGTACAACTTCCAATACACTACTGCTTATAACACTATTAATAATGTATGTTGTATGTTGTATATTACTATTCTACAAAGATCGTAGGTCCACTATAACAGGAAAATCAGGGGATTTTAAAAATGCGATCAGATTAATTGAGCTATATTATAAATTTATGTTTCAGTGTTCTAGGTTTGAAATTGCATTTTCCAGACAATTAAAATTATTCTTACGTTCACTACTCTGAGTTCATAGTACTTGTAACTTGTTTATTTGGGAGTTACAACTTCCATTTACTGCGAACACGGTGTGGCGAACGGAAAGGGCAAACCTGTTTGATTTTTATATTATGTCCGACAACTGTTGTTTTTTGATTAATGGATAACGTTGTTATCAGTTTCCCGCGCTTGTGTGTGGTGTGTAGGGTTGCCTA